AGGCGGAGGTTGCAGTGAGCTGACATCGCACCACTGCACTCCAGCCTGGGTGACAGCGAGACTCCGTCCACCCAAAAATTTGTATTCAAAACTCTCACTTCTTCCTCATGAGAAAGAAATGCAGCAAAACTATATCCCTGCAGGACTAAATGGAATATTTTCAGTTGTATTACCTTTTCATGTCAAGCATTTTAACACAATTCTAAATAAATGATTTCACAAAAGGTACAAAAATTATTGGAATGAGGATGGGACAGATACATCATCAGGATAGCAACCGATGCCTGTGCCACGGGGTCCGCCTCTGGGCTCTCTGCGGTCACCTGGAGAAAGGACTGCTCTTTAAAGCAAACAACAATAATCCTTGTAACGGGAACACCTAAGCCCCAGGAAGTCACATTCTGAAATGCAGTCTACACTGATTTTTACTTTGGAAAGGTCTCTCTTGAGTGAGTATAATTTGTTCTCGATTATGGTAGTACTGTTTAGGATTTGTAACACGCTTTTAGAAAAATTAAAAAAGAAATCCTTTATTTTGATATTTAAGGACAAAAGAGACCCTGGTTAGAGCATAGTGCAGTTGGTTGCCTGTGATGTTGAAAACAGACGCGCTCTTTCCCCTTTTACTTAACACGTTATTTATTCTAGAGCACAAAGATTCTTATTTTTTCAAAAATAGTAATTATGGTGTCCACCTCTTAAAAAGTGTTGTCACAGCAGTCTTTCATCTGACAGATTTTTCAAGATTGTACTCCTGGGAGAAGTGGTGAAGAGAAACCGGGGTGTTAATTAGACAGATTGAAGCTGGAGATGTAACCAGTGCTAACAGAATTTACAATGTAGAATGCCTCCATCTCCAACGTGAGAGTGGATTTCCTTCTGCCGTGATTGCAGTAGGATTCAAACTCATCTTTCCTTTCTTACCACGTCTCTCTCTCTTCAAATTACGTAATAGATCTTCTTTGCGTGTGAAGTGCCCTAAATATTGAAGTCTTCTACTTTGTTTTTTCTTTCTGGAAAGCACATTGAAGGCTGCTTCCAGATATTCTGCACTAGCAAATACGCATTTTCTAGCAACAGGATGCCTATTTTAAATGCCTGGATTGGCCAGGTGTGGTGGCTCATGCTCTAATTCCAGTACTTTGGGAGGCTGAGGCAGGCAGATCACCTGAGGTCAGGACTTCCAGCCTGGCCAACATGGTGAAACCCCATCTCTACTAAAAATACAGCCGGTTGTGGTGGCGCGCACCTGTTAGTCCCAGCTACTTGGGAGGCTGAGGCAGGGGAATCACTTGACCTGGGAGGCAGAGGTTGCAGTGAGCCGAGATCACACGATTGCACTCCAGCCTGGGCAACAAAGCGAGAGAGACTCCATCTCAAAAATAAAAAACAAAAGATAAATGCCTGGATTGATTTAGCAACAACAACAACAACCAACTTAACAAAATTTTATTTTCACCACGAAAATACGTGTTTTGGAAAATGTATGTTGCATCAGCAAGTGGATACACTTTCGAAGGGAATACTGAGCCGGCAGGCCCTTGCCCTGGGAACGGTCCAGAGCAGACTTGCTGCGGCTCCGCCAGTTTTCCACATCAGGGTCCTAATGAGTTGAATGAACCACACGGGTAACTTTGACTAACCGTCAAAAACGGAAGTTTATAAGTGATTGACGTTAAAAATACAAAGCAGAGAGCATTAGAAGTTGTGCCTGGAACTACATCATGTCGTTTCCTCCCTTCCAGAAAGGCAGGGGAAAGCCACAGTGTCTAAACTCTGCCTCACCTGTCAGCTGCGATACCTGCTCAGCCAGGGATCGGTCTAAGGCAGGGGGTGATCCTTTTTTGACAGAACGGTTGTGAGCATAGGGAAGTCGCACTGTGATTCACCTCTTCCCAGAGTTTTGTTTTATTTGTCAAAATCTGGGCATGCCGATGGTGGCTGTGGGTGAGAATATTGTTTGTCATGCGTTGAGTCTCCTTCCCCTGCCTCAAAACAAACAAAGCCCAAACAAACAAGTCCGTGCTTTGAAAGATGCTGCCAACCTTTCATTAAGCAAAGTCAAGCTGATGACCTTTAGTAGTGGTAGAATTTTTGCTAGTGCTTCCCATTTGGTGCCTGTCTCTAGAAAGCGCCCCGGAAGGACAGAGTTGAAACTACACGGGTGGCGTCTCTCTGGTGTGGACAGGGAGGGCAGATCCCTCCTCAGCCATCTCCCTGGCATTCTTCCCTGCCTGCCCCCCAGTCCCTTAGGTCAAAGAGAATGACTGCAGCTTCTCTGAGCTTTGTAACCAACTGCAAGTGAGGAAGGTCCTGATAAATGTGTCAGACTCCCCTTCTCAGACCGAGAGTATCTGAATAAATAATAGCAAGGAAATAAATTCAGCGGCGACACGGACAGCATCCTTATAATCCCAGCCCAGCACATCCAACACAATTGGGTCACTCTTAAAAACAGCAACAACTATCGCAACAAAACTTCAAGCAAATGTGCCATGAAAAACTCTTACATAATTGTAACTGATTTGGGTTTCCTCTGGTTCAGGTTTTCTTCCCTCTTTGATAATCAAATGATCTGAAGAAAGGCATAGAATTTCAGGGGAGAATCTGCATGACAGGCTTACAATAAGGCTATTCACAGAGACTCTTTTATGAGCTTACACAGGATCACCATCATTCTTCGTCTCTGGCTTTGCTACAAGGCTCCATTTAAACTTAACCCAACTTGCAGATTTAACTGATTCAGGAATGACTCAATACAATGAGCCAGCTACTGTAGCTCTTTCCCCCCTTTTGATAAGGGGACTTAACACAATGGGCTTTACAGTTCTTAAATGACTGATTTTTTTTTTTCCTGTCTTTGAGATGTGGTGCTTATGAGACCTTTTGTTTCTTTAAAAAGATTCACATGGTTTGATTATATTTTTGAGAAGTATAAACAAATCCAGTAGGCACTCCCTACCCTTAGAATAAAACTTTAAGAATCTTGCAAATGATATAGAAGCAAAACTCATGTCACACTATCTACACACCTGATTTCTATTAATAGTTAATAGAAATTATTAACTATTAGGCATTATTCAATTACACTTGAAAACATTTATTTTTGAGGGGTGATTCTGATGTAATTTCTAGTAGTTCTTCAGCATTGAATTTCGTGTTTACACATTTCTTGTTATCTGCTGGTGTTTATACTGTGTTCACGACCTAATATGATATGTAAATTTAATATTTTAGTAAAATTGGTCAGGTGGTTAGAGACCATGAGATGGATGCAGTGCTAATACAGTTCCCAGTTCCCGGCAGGGCACCTTGCTTGTCCCTGAGTAGCTGGGACGGAGGGGAGACCCTGGAGGAGGCATCTGGTGGCACACTGCAGCGAGAGCACTGGGGACCCGTGCTTTGGATACACACCTCACAATGGTGGTTCCCAAACTTTAGTGGAAACAGGAATCATCAGGGATGCTTGTTAGAACTGCACATGCTTGGAGCCCACCCCCAGAGACTGATTCAGTAGGTTCAGGATGGAGGCCAGCAAATTTGCATTTTTAGCAAGCCATGCAGTTGATTCGGATGGGGTGGTTATTGCACCACACTGAGAGTCATCCTCCTGAAGTCACCAGGGAATGCTGGGAAACCATGCCTTCTCCTCTGCAGCACCTGCTGCCCCTAGGTGAGCAGGGACCTTGGTTAGGAGGGACCCCTGCTGTGATCCGAGGGCTGCAGATGCCAGGAGGGGAAGGACAGCTCTAGTATTTGCAGAGTGTCAGAGCAGCTCTTACATCTTCCACCTGGTCCGCCTCCATCCCTCTTCATCTTCACGTGGTAGGGAACACGCCTTGCCTGTGGGTCCCGCTGGGTGTTTCAACGTGTCATCTCACTCTCACTCTAGCTTTGTAATTAGAACTTCAGAGAGGTTGTTATCTTCATTATTTAATCCACATTTGCTTCTTTATCCCACGCCCCTACTCGTATTAACGTAGTTTTAGATTTTCGGACGTGGGGATCTTTTCCAATTGGAAATGGATTCTCAAGAAGCCTTTTCGGAATTATGGATGTAACATGTTTATTCGTTTCATGAGGATGAGATTTTTCCTTGAAGATCTGTTGATCTGATGGTCAAAACCGATAGGGAACGTAATTGTTGATGATAACTACTGATGTTTACAGCAGTTTGCCTGGTGGGCTGTTTTGTGTTTTGTTTGTAGAATCCACCCCCAAATGGTTGGCAGACTTTTCTACTATGAGAAATTTCAGGCTATTCACAATTAGGAAGTACAGAAAACTCCCATATATTCATCAGCCACTTTCTAGAGTTATCAAGATTTATCATGTTTTTCAGCAGCCTCTTATTGTTTTTAAATCTTGCTGGTGGTTTTTGCAAGGGAGAACAAGTAATATATTTTCTGCACCTATGGAAAAGTTCATGGCTAAGTCCTCTATAATAAAAGATAGATGCACAAGAGAGAAACATACAGAGGTATTTATTGTAAGTTTTATATGACACAGGAGCCTTAAAAGGAAGTATAGACCCCAAGACATAGGGAACCCTCTGTACGTTTCTGCTTAGGTTTGATCAAGAGTGGACAGAGGTATGATAGGACAAAGGGGTATGATTTAGCTGGCAAGAAACTAGAGGGAAGTTGGCAAGGCCTGTTTGTCCAGATTCTTCCCTGTGTCCCTGTGTCTTCAGAGACAACGAGATTGTTTTTCTCTGGGTATGGGGAGGGCACCTCTGGAATGGGGGGCTTATGAGCTGCTTCAAGGGAAGGGAAGAGAATTCTTTTATGGCCTGCTTTAGCGGAGGAGGGAGGAGAAGGTTAGAGGGACCTTCCTGCTTCCACTGTTTTCTCAAATGCCAAGTTGCCGTATTTTGGGATACACGCTGAACCTCATCATTTTCAAAGCGGTTTGTTTTAGGAATGAAACAAACATGAAATGCTTTGCTTGGGGCCCCAGTCGAGTGATCACAAAGAGTCGTTTAAATGTGTCCTTTCCAGGAATGTGTTCCAGAAGACCTAGAACTGAAGAAGAAGATTTTTGCTCAGTTAGATTCCATCGTTGATGATCGAGTGACCTTAAGCAGTTCCACCTCTTGTCTCATGCCTTCCAAGTTGTTTGCTGGCTTGGCTCACGTGAAGCAGTGCATCGTGGCTCATCCTGTGAGTATTTTAAATCCAGAGAATTGATTGTATATCATTCTCTCTTTTTTTTGGGGGGGGGGTGGTCAATAACTTGTGATGAATCCATTAGTATTTTAAACCACTTTATTGAGATAGAATTCGCTTACACAATTCACCAATTCAAATTGTGTAGTTCATTGGTTCTTATTGTATTTACACAGTTGTGCAATACCAGCATTTTCAAAATGAATTTTATCCAAAAATCCCTTGGATTTTTATCTGTGTACCGTGTGTGCAATGGAACAGAGTGAGCAATGCTTTGAGGCTTTCACCTCGAGTAACCGTGTAGCTGAGAAGGCTGACGACTAAACGCAAAATTCTACTATCGGTATAAAAGTGCTACATGAAAAATGTATACAACGGGCAGGATTGTACAGATATGTCACTTGCACTGTGTCGTTTACTCGACACAATTCGGAGTAGGATCCGTTTTGTTAAAATGCAGATTCTGGGTCCTGCTTCGGAGACTCTGACTGTAGGTCTGACGTTAAGCACTTTTTTCCTTGTGGTTCTCTTCCACCCCCTCCTTGTAATTAACTGTGAAAGCTTATTTGCCAGGAGTGTGTTATGAGGCGCCCTGGACAGTGAGTTTCAAAGGGCATCCAAGCACTCAAGGAGTCTTCTGGTGGTTAATGTATTGAGGTGAGGAACCGGGAATGAGAGAGGAGATTCAGTGATCGACATTTGAGTTGAACTGTGAGTTCAGTGTGACCTTGGAGAACCAGGACAGCCTGTTAGGATGGGAAGGGTGACTTAGCTCAAGCTATGATAAATATAATAGTATATAATAGTGACCGCACCCTTGGCACCACCAGGTTGCCAGAGGGTAAGATCAGGAAGAAGCAACGCGGAGGCGCTGGGCCCAGCCTGGCTAGCAGCTGGTTGGGCTGATGAAGGGAAGTGAGGGTCTGAAGCTGGGGAAGAACATGAGCCAAGACCCTGGGCCAAGAGCAAGCTCGGTGTGCAGAACTGTGGGACGCCAGCCTGGCGGGATGAGCACACATGCCCTGCAGCCATGGGAGCACTCAGTAGTAGCTGGGTTTGGAGAGTCATGAGGGTTACTCTGCGAAGCTGGGACAGGCAGCTTGGGTCCAGAGCAGCAGTGTGAGGTGGTGAAGGCGCTGCTTAGGGAGAGCAACACGAACGTCCTTCCTTGGGTGAAGACGGGTCGGAGAGGGGAGCAGTGACATCACAGGACTTGGGGAGTATTCCAAACTTGAGTGACCAGGGCCTAGGATCAAAAGCCGGGCAATTCCTCTTTCTGAGCAAGCGCCATTTAGAGTGTGGGGGTAACGGATGCCTACCACATCTGCAGATGCCCGCCAGGTTTCACGTGCTGAGAAGAGCGGCAGCTCAGACCCCCATTTACATAGCTGTATGGTCCTGGGAGAGAGGACGGAAAGAAGGAGGAATGGTTATAAAATAAGGAGGCTGAGATGCATAGAAATAGAAGGGAACCAGCCACATTTGGTTACCACTCAAACAGGAATGAGATTAGCATTCGAGGGCCCCTGATGGAAACCAAGTCCTGAGAAGCCTGCCGTGCCTTTGCTTTGGAGACATAGACGTGTCGGTAAAAAGGGCTCCCGGAGACCTCAGCACTTCCTAGGTTGCTGCTTGATTGCTTCCGCGAAAGACTCATTCTTGACCCGTGTTTTTGCTTCTAAGTCAGTTTAAAACCAAGCTAATCTAAATAAAATTGTTCAGAAAATACCTCCTGAGTTCGTTGACAAGACCTTTACTGCATCTCTTTAATTTTAAACTACCAGATGGGTGAGAGGACACCTGAGTCACTTTCTTCTCCTTCACACCCAGCGCGGTCCCCAGACCAGCAGGACTTGGTGACGGTTGATTCATGACATTTTCTCCCTCCCTCCTACTCTCGTTCCGTCCCACTACTGCTCACTTATTTAATGAAACAACATGAAGTCCAAATCTTATTTTAAAAATTAATCTTCCTTATGGTTACAAATGATTTTTTTTTTGAGACGGAGTTTCGCTCTTGTTACCCAGGCTGGAGTGCAATGGCGCGATCTCGGCTCACCGCAACCTCCGCCTCCTGGATTCAGGCAATTCTCCTGCCTCAGCCTCCTGAGTAGCTGGGATCACAGGCACGCGCCACCACGCCCAGCTAATTTTTTGTATTTTTAGTAGAGATGGAGTTTCACCATGTTGACCAGGATGGTCTCGGTCTCTTGACCTCGTGATCCACCCGCCTCGGCCTCCCAAAGTGCTGGGATTACAGGCTTGAGCCACCGCGCCCGGCTGGTTACAAATGATTTTTAAACAAAACCCATGTTAATTAAAGCAAACCAGATAACCGGAGTTGGCGGTCTTTGGACCTTTCCCTTCCTCTCCTCAGTGTTCCAGCTGCCCAGCTCTTTTTTTTTTTTTCTTTCTTTCTCTGTGGCTGTTGCACAGGCTTGAGCGCAGAGGTGCCATCCTAGCTCACGGCGGCCTTGAACTCCTGGCCTGAAGCAAGCCTCCAGTCTCAGCCTCCCAAAGTGCTGGAATTGCAGAAGAAAGGCACCCCGCCTGGCCCCACCTCTTGCTCACCCCACGGGGCCTCTAGTACAGAATCAAGACCCAGCGATAATCTCTGAGGCACCACAGTTTCCGCGGAGACCCCAGGCCAGCTAGGAGCGGCTCAGCCTGCAGCCCCAGTCCCTGCTTGGGGCCCTTTGTTTCAATCACTGGTGATCTTTGCCTGGCCCGAAAATAGGATGACGAAAACAGGAGGCCTGTTCATGCTGTGGCAAAAGTGGATATTCAGCAAATTGGAAAGGTTGCTTCTGTCCCCACCCGCACAGAGAGGCCCGCAGCCAGCGTCCCACCGCCCCGCCACGGGCTCCCTGGGGCGGGGCCACACTCGGGTCGGCGGGGAGGGAAAGGCACTGACCGGGCGAGCACGTGCGCCCCGCGCAGGAGTTCAGGCTGGGCTTTAGGGTGGGCTTCCGGGACTGGAGCCGCTGGCGGCCACACTGAAGGCCCAGGAAGAGGGCTGTTCATGCAGCCCTGCTCTGTTCTGGACGTTTTTCTTCTCCAGTGACTTTGCGTTGTTTCCTCGACTCCTAGTGGCAGTGACTCCAGAATTCCCACGTGGAGGGGCTGGGGGAGGAGCATGTGGCGGCTGGGGCCTGTGGGTGACAGTGGCGTGCACGGTGCACCGCAGTGTGTCCTTACTGAGCTTTGTGTTAGCGCTGACGGAGGGGCAGTTTCCTGTTAGTTTAGCCACGCTTTCCAAAGGGGCCCCCTGCTCTTTTTGCTTCCTTAGTTGAGTCTGGAAAGGCGATGGTCCGATGGGGCCGGCGGGGTCTTGGGAGGCCACTAAGCAAGGGGCCCGCTGGATGGACGGCCTGCCTGGGAAGGGGGCGGCGGCCGGCAGAGGGGGCCGCGCGGTGGGCGTGGGGGGAGAGGCCGCCGGTCAGCCCCCTCCCCGCCCCTTGCCTGCGCTCGGCCGTTTCAGACTCGCCTCCCGTCTGACACCGAAGCCGTCAGCCCCGGGGGTGGTAAACGTTGGCGGCACCGGCTCCGGCGGCCTTTGCGCACCTGCACCGCCCCGCGGCCGCTCGGACTCGCCCGGGGCCCCGCCGGCCAGCGCGCGACGGGGAGGAGCGGCCGCCGGTGAAGCCGCGGGCGCCGAGGGGGACGAGAGGCTCCGGCCCGGCGGCCTCCCGCGAGGGCGCCGCTTGGTCCCGGAGCGAGGGGGGAGGGAGCCTCTGTGGGCGGCCGCGCTGTCGGCGCGGTCACACGGGCCCGGGCGGCGGGAAGAATGCGCCCTTGTGCCCGGGCCCCGCGCGGCGCCGCCGCCGCCGTGTCTGTCTCGCCCTTTGCGGGGCGAGTTTCTGAGTCCGCCTCGCGCACGCCCGCGCCGAAGCCTCCTCCTGCTTCCGGAGAGGGCAGAGCAGGTGCCCAGGACGGCCCTTCCTGCTCCCTCCCTCTTCTGTGGGCGTCATCTCGAAACAGAAGCTTTTGCGCATGGACGCATCGCTTAGGAACTGTGACATTCTACCTGTCACCCATATGGTGGAGGAAAACGCATTTAAAAGCATCATCTGGGGACCCGTTGGCTGCAAGACACTTGGCTCGGTGCTCAGGCCAGTCAGGTTCTACCAAGCACTCTTTTCTCTGGACATTGGCTACTTCTCTGTGAGGAATCTCTAAGAACAGTTTCTCAAAGTCAACCGAGAACCCCAGAGTCGAATAGTGAAGTCCAGGCCCCCGCCTCGGGCTCACTCACAGGGACAATGCCTTCCTGTCTAGGACCTGTGGGCGTGCAGGGCCGCCTGACGTGTGTTGGTGACCACTGATTTCTAGAGCAGGAAGGTGACCTTCGATTGGAAGGCGCAGACACTTAACGTGCAATGTGGAGTAATTAAAGAAATACCAGGTTTTGGGAAGACATTGCTAATAATTTATTTTTGAGACAGCGTCTGGCACTGTCATGTAGGTTGGGGTACAATGGCACGATCGTGGCTCACTGCAGCCGTCACTTTCTGGGCTCAAGTGACTCTCCCACTTCCGCCTTCCAAGCAGCTGGGACTATGCGTCCACACCGCCACACCCAGCTAATGTTTTCCATTTTTTTGTAGAGACAGGGTCTCACCATATTGCCTAGGCTGATCTTGAATTCCTGGGCTCAAGTGATCCTCCTGCCACAGCCTCCCAAAGCGCTGAGATTACAGGCGTGAGCCACTGCATCCAGCCTGCTAATAATTTTTGACACCGACCCGGGAGAATGTCAGAGTCTGCGGCGACTGCAGATGGGAAGGCATGGTTCCGGAGGGTGGTGGGGTGGGAGGAAGCTTCGAAGACAAGACACATGGGAGCAGAGAAATTCTGTCCTGGGGAGGCCAGGGATTTGAAGATTAGCCATAAGCATACAGGCTGGCAAGCTGTTCCTCCAAATTCCAACTTTGTATTTTGGGTAATTTTTTAAAAACAAAACCACACAATTCTGTATGCAGACTCCCTTTTCCTCTCACCGTTGTGAATACATTTCTTTCTCAAGTATCTTGTTGGCCGCTGAATCTAAAGGCACCTTTCTAAAGATGTACTTGCCCCTCCTGACCATTCGGGGTGGGTGCAATGCCCCAGACCCAGGGTCGTCTCCTTGACTCCCTCACTTCTTTCTCTCCTAAGGTGAATCCACCGTACTATGTCCCGCTGGTTGAGCTGGTCCCCCACCCGGAGACGGCCCCTACGACAGTGGACAGAACCTACGCCCTGATGAAGAAGATTGGACAGTGCCCTGTGCGAGTCCAGAAGGAGGTGGACGGCTTTGTTCTCAACCGCCTGCAGTACGCGATCATCAGTGAGGCCTGGAGGATGGTGGAGGTGCATGTGCCCTTCCTCCTCCCTCCTTCCCTCCCTCCCTCCCTCCCTCCTTCCCTCCCTCCCTCCTTCCCTCCTCCCTCCTTCCCTCCTCCCTCCCTTCCTCCCTTCCTCCCTCCTTCCCTCCCTCTTTCCCTCCCTCCCTCCTTCCCTCCCTCCCTCCCTCCTTCCCTCCCTCCTTCCTTTCCTTCCTCCCTCCCTCTTTCCCTCCTTCCCTCCTCCCTCCTTCCCTCCCTCCCTCCTTCCCTTCCTCCCTCCTTCCCTCCTCCCTTCCCTTCCTTCCTCCCTCCTTCCCTTCCTTCCTCCCTCCTTCCCTTCCTTCCTCCCTCCCTCCCTTCCTCCCTCCCTCCTTCCCTTCCTCCTTCTCTCCTTCCCTTCCTCCCTCCCTCCTTCCCTCCTCCCTCCCTCCTTCCCTCCTTCCTCCCTCCTTCCCTCCTCCCTCCCTCCTTCCCTCCTTCCTCCCTCCTTCCCTTCCTTCCTCCCTCCCTCCCGAAGTTGAGCAGGACAGTGAAAGTTGTTCCCTGGGCAGCCTAGAAACTGGGAAAGTCAGAGGCGGCTTGGTTCTTCTCATTCTGTTCTGGAGACCAAGGGCCAGCTTTAGAAACCAAGTAAAATGCAGCGATTCATTGTCCGAGAGGTTCTTCTTACAGTCACCTGATACCAGGACAGGACAACAGGCTTCTCCCTGCTGCCCTTTCATAGCATTAGACATAATTACTGTGTGGCCCACTGCATTTTCCCACAGAGCCAGCGTTTACCCTTCATGTTACAGTTTTTCAGGAGGAAAAAAATTACATGTTGTGTAAACTTTTTTCTCCTGATGGAACCTAATTGTTTCAAGAGCTTGAGGAGGCAATGATGAATAGACTTGTTAGAGTAAATGCTTGTCTTGTCTATAAAGAGGAAATGATATATAAAGACATGTCACATCATCCTCTAAAGAAAGGCTTTTACACGGAGGTGAAGCAGTGGCCTGGCTGCATGCATTCCCGTACACATTTGCACGAGGGGCCGTGGTGCCTGGGGGAGCTACGTGGGCTGGATGAGCCGGGGAAGTCTCCAGGTCTGGCAGCGGGACTGTCTGGCTTCCCTTATGGCACCAGCCCGGCTTCTGTAGGGGGAAGGCGAGACTCTGCCCACGCCTGTGTTGCAGAAACACGGTGGAGGGTGGAGGGCCGGAAGTGCCCAGCTGCAGAGGGTAGGGAGGACACTGCTCGGGCTCGCATCGCCTGAGCCTGGCGTGGCTCCGCAGTTCCTTGTTCGGACTTGCATGGACACACACCGAGCCTCGCCTGAGACGGCAGCCAGGAAGCCGACCGTGCCCCAGCTTTCCTGGGTGTTGCATTTCAATTTCCCACCCGTTCTGCCAAAGCAGGCAGGTGTGCGTGACGGACGTGGCCTCCCGCAGCCTGCTTCTCGTGTTAGGATTCTGCTAATCCCTGTCAGGTTCGTCGTCTGACTTGACTGCGGAGTGCGTTTGTCATGCAGTTGCCTCGATTCTGTGTCTCGATGTGTGGATCCACTTAAGGCTCCTGTATCTTCGAGAAACAGTGCTTGGGTTTCCACTGTGATGGTGGACAGTTTGAATTTCTTAGTAATTTCTTGAATATCAGTCGGCATCAAGGTATTTTTAAAGAAATGCTGATCTCTCAGAACCTCCTTGGAGATTTGAATATTTCCATTTGTCTGGAAAAGGGGAACAACTTTACACCCTTTGCCCATGTTCACTTGTTGCATTAAAACCTTGTGTGGTTTTACAGGCAATCTCAACTTTTTATTTGTAAGGTATTTCAGCACCCTGAGTTAAGTCTTGCGTTCTCCAATCTGAAAGGGTTTGGGATTCCGGTGTGAGGGGATCGGGTGGGAGGTGTGCACAAAGAACGCTCTGCTGCAAGAGCCATGGAGGACTCTGATGTTTCCTGGTGCTGCTGGAAGAGGGCAGGTGGGAGGGGTGAGTTCTGCTGGCTGCCGATGTCCACCGTGCTTTTGGCTGTCCTGCTTTGTGGGTCATGGCGGCCTGAGTGACGCTGTGTTACCGGCTGGCGGGAACGTTCTTACTCCTAGCTTTCTGCGGTGACGTACCTCCTGAGAGAGTGAAGCCTGAATGTGTCGCTGTGCTGGCTGCTGTGGGGACTCACATGCCGGGAGTCCCTGTCAGGAACCGAGTGCCGAAATCTAGCAGGATACAGTTTGTGACAGAACAGGAAGAGGTCCACAGAAAGGGGAAATTAAGAAAGTGTGAATACAACTCAAAAGAATTACCTTGGTGAAAGTGTAGAAGATAATTCATTTTTTAAAATAAGGATCATCTACAGGTAGCGGGGCCCAAGGAAGCTCTAGAAACTGCAGGTCCTCTTCCGGCAGGGGTGGGGTGGGAATAACTCTACCAGGCACCCCGAGCCCCACAGGGATGACTTCCAGGGTGTAAGGGGCTTTAGTTATGTGGCAAGGCTGGCAGAGAGGGAGCACGGAGGATGTCAGAAAGGAAGGTGGGCTTGTCATGTGCGGACCTGGACCAACACCACTCAGTGGCCGGCCACTTCAGGAGCAAGGTCGCGACCAGCATGTGAGCGCTCCAGCAGCAGGTTGAAGTTTGACAGCCTTTTCTGTTTGATCCTTGCTTGGCGTGTTAATTGGGTAGAGCTGGGTTGCTTTCAGGGTAGGGGAGGGGCGAGGTGACTTGGTTCAGTGCGTTTAGGGAGCGCGCTGGAAGTGGAGTGCTGGCGCACTGGTCGGGACCTTGCTCCTAAAGTAGCCGCTGACATGGGCTCCTGAGCATCCACATGGAGGCCTGCATTCCCTAAGGCTCTGGGGCTGGGCGGCAGAGCCATGCCTCATCTCAGTGTTGCCCTAGAGAAATCCTGCCCACGACGATTGTGCCAGTCGCAGTGTGCCTCCCTCCTAGCAGGCAGGGTGTACCTGACACAGTTCCCGCAGGGGGTGCTGGTTTAGGGATTCTTGACTTTATTGTAGGAATCTCTTGAAAGAGAATCTGTGCTGCGGTGGCCTGTTTTCCCTGCCAGATACTGCAAGTCAGCGAAAGTTAGTAAATCTCTCCAGGGCCCCACCTCCCCGTCTTGCAAATCTGTGTGGTTGCTCCAAGCCACGGTTGAACACAGGGCACAGTGACACCACTTTGATTCACAACTTCCAAGCCGGATGAACTTGAATTTGCATTTTGGAGTCTTTCAGTAGTTGAACTTAGATTTGGGGTGTTCCAAGTTTACCTCGAAACTCTCAAGAGCAACTTTTAATAGAAATAGGAGCAGAATTGGGGAAGTTTTACGGTATGGACTAAAGGCTTGTGTATGTTTAAAGTTGAAAAGCTCCAAAGGCCTTGCAAGGGTTTCCCTTCTCAGTGAGGCCTGGGCTGGGTTCCACATGTGGCCAGAGTGCCTGGGCCCTGAGCCTTGACCGTAGTGAACGAATGAGTGTTGGCGGGAGGCATTGCCCTTCCGGGACTCACTGGGGTGGGTGCTTCTGTCTCAGGACTCTCTGGGCTCAACAAAGCAAGTTGAAGTTTGACAGCCTTTTCTGTTTGACCCTTGCTTGGTGTGTTAGTTGGGTAGACCTGGGATGCTTTTAGGGTAGGAGAGGTGCCAGGTGACTTGGTTCAGGGTGCTAAGGGAGCCTGCTAGAAACGGGCCGTGTGCCTCTGTCCAAGCGTGTGGGTGCTGGGTCAGCAGGTCAGGGAGGAATGCTATTTCCTGCCATCCCTGTCATCTGTAGGTGAGCAGCTCTGCACAGAAAGGATGAAAGTGTGAATTTCCAGGGGCCTGGCCCCCAAGTTCAGGTAGGAGCTAGAACAGGATGGAAGGATGGCCTGCATTTCCACCCACGGTGGCGTCTCGCTGCTGCTGTCAGGGTAGGGCGGAAGAAGGTGCGTTACCGCTCACTAAGTGGTGATTACAGGGGTCCCGTGGATTGACTTCCGTGTGTCCAAACAGCCTCACATACATGGAATAATCTTACTTAGGACTGCTGTATCCCACCTGGTTATGCTTTGTTGTGAATTTTTTTTTTTTTTGCACCTAAATTCATAGGAAATATTTGTCTGCAGCTTTCTTTTTTTATACTATCTTTACTCGATTTTGGTATCAAGGTCACACAGGTGGAGGAAGCCCAATGCTTGGGACCAGAAGTATTTCCGGTTTTGGATGTTTCCAGATTTTGGAATATTATAGACTTGTTGTTTTAGCATCCCTAATCCGAAAATCTGAGATCCGGAATGCTCCAGTGCGCCTTGCCTTTGAAAAAGCATTTCCTTGTCATCACCCATTCTCCCTCTGTCCCCATGCAGCTCTGTAAGCCCTCAGACCTTCGGGGAGTAGAATGGACACCTGCATACAGGGGAATGAAGGAGCCGAGTCTATTGTGCCGTCTCACTGACGTTCACTCCGTTTAGTTTCTCTTCCAGCTGGCTCCAGGTTTGGCGCGCAGCCGCCCTTGTGGTCTTGGAAAATTCCAGATGGACATGTCTGGCCACAGTCCACTGGCACTCACTTCCCCTGCCAGAGACATGGTCCCTGGGTGACAGGATCTCGTTGGCCGGGATGCCATTTCAAGTCTATATTCTTAAGTTATTGGCATACCGAAGGACATTGTGTTGTGATAATAGACTTTTGGCTGGACAGTAGCTGAGTTTGCTGCCTGTAAATTCCTTCCCATGAGGGCAGGGTATGTGGAGGTGCCTGGGAATGGGTCTGCAACCCTCGGCAGGTTCTCAACCTGCTGGTGCGAGTTGGTGGTGATGAGCTTTGGAAATCGCTGACCTCGGGTTCCGCCCGTCCTTCTGAACGATGTCATGCCTGCGCTGGACGGCTGTCCTTCGGGCCCGGGCTGCAGAGAGTGAGCTCTTGGTGTCTTGATGTGTCAGGGCGAATGTGGTCTGGGGTACCTGGAAGGGGCCCTGAGAATCCAGAACTTCGTCACTGAGCTTTCTTTCAGACACAGCTGCCCACTGGTAGGAGGCATTGCTTTAGTTCATGCACTTCGAGATGAAG